TATACCAGTGACGCACGCTACAGCAACAGCAGTAATGAAGTTTTCCCACAAACACTTTTTACACCAACATTTAAAAAGAACCAATAAAAACAAAACAAACAAACGAAGCCCGACTCAAATGCAAAAAAGCACAGAGTCAGTAGAATAAGTAATAGTTGTCTGTAAGCAAGAAGATTGTTTGATCAGTGATAAAATCAGCAACTTGAATATCAACAAAGCAAATAAGCACAGAAATTATGGTGCAAAGTGTTTATATATAGGATTTACATCACTGACGTCCTCCCCGTGTTTTAAAGATTTATAGACTTTTCTACAACTTGATAAGAGGAAGAATGACATCAATCTATAATTATGTTATTAATACATTTTAATGCCATGGTGACCTGTTTTTCTCTTGAACAAATAGCACGTCGTCATAGTCACCATCTAAAAGCTTCCAACAAGATGCTCGGTGTTGATTTTTCCTCCTTTTTTAACAGTTACTGATGACCACTGCGTTTATACTGCTAACATAGGTCAGGGCGGGAACTCGGCGTCCTGCAGGTTTTAGAGTCAGCACACCTGAATCAAATGTTTTCACTACCAGGCCTCTGGAGAACTTCGAGACATGTTGAGGAGGTCGTTTAGCCGTTTAAATGAGCTGTGTTGGATCAAGGACACGTCTAAAACCTGCAGGGCCCTCGAGGCCTGGAGTTCCCACCCCTGATGTAGGTATAAACGCTGTGCTAAAAGCGAGGGCGGCTCACGGGGTGTAACCTTGGGAAACCCTTTCAAACTTCTGCTCCGACTACTCCAAACCTGATCATTAAACACCAGAACACAGAAAGCTCTACATGTGAAATGGGCTGAATAGACGCTAATTAAGATGGTTGGGTACTCACTAGCTGTCACGCTGAGATCGAGCACACACTGCTCTGCGCCAACGCGATTGGTAGCGGTGCAGCGATACGTGCCAGATGCACTGGCAGATGCATTCTTCACGTTGACTGTGCCTGACACAGGATCTAAACAAACAAACACAAACACAGTGAAAAGACGACAGAGTTAAACACAAACAGAGTTATGTGTCGGACCTTTAGTTTGACCTTGTAAAAAGCTGCATTACCCAGCACTGAGGAGGCGGGCAGCACTTTGCTGCCAGTAGTCTTCTCCCAGCTGTATTTCATGGGTTTGCTTCCTGCTTCAGATGTGCACCTCAGCACAACGTCTTTGCCTTCATGTGTGGAGCCCTCAGTGTAGCACCTGGGCTTGGATGGCTTCTCTGTGGAGAGCAAAGAGGCAGAGGAAGAAAACCCGGTGATTTTCCAATCTTACAGTGTGCGTCTGTGTATTGTGTTTCCTCCTTTACTCAAAGCAGCGCTCATCTGACAAGTTAGAGCAGTAATCAGAGTAATTGATACATCTGTAGTTATTAAGAGCTGTCACTCAGGATGATCGTGTAGAAGAAAGGCGCTGCGTCAGTGGACACGCAAGCACACGTTTGCTCGTTCAGTCGGGGTGTTGGTTTGAGATGAGACGGATTCAAAAACAAGCCCAGACACGCCGTGAGCGAGAGAAAGTGACGGGTAATATTTGGACAGAGGAAATCTAAGACAAGGGAGCCGGAGATCGACAGACGGATTGGGGCTGCAGCTGCAGTAATGCAGACGCTGCACCGGTCCGTCGTGGTGAAGAGGGAGCTGAGTGTAAAAG